GAACCCAGACGCTGAACCCACTGAGCCACCCGGGTGCTCCTTGAGGTTCTGAATTTCTGACAAGTTCTCAGGAGATGCTGATGGTGGTCCAGGAACCTCACTCTGGAGAGCAAGGCCAATTCTTGGAATCCTGAGAAGCAGGAAATACCAACAGCCAGTCTGGGTGAGTGGGAAGCACAGTACGAACGTGAATTCACTGCCCCCACTGCCCCCAAGGTAAAGATAATTTGGTTCCGAGTCACCACCAGGCGCTTGCTCTAAGGAAGCCCAGACCTCTCACAGTGAGACCCCATCCTCCAGCTCTGTGGCAAGAACCATCACCCCAATTATAAACCTTTGCAATATGCTTTATTGTAAAAGAGAGGTCCTCCCTTATCACTCAACTTTGGCCAGAATTTGGGGGGCTAGGCTTGATACTATTTTACAGTACAAACCGTAAAGTCAACTTGATTAGTTAAAAATCATTTTTAGTGCCATGGTATTAAATGTATAGATTAAGGAAAAATAATTTTTATAATAATATATTCAATCTCCTTTCTAAAAACAGGATATGTTTTTCTACGAAATCTCCTTTTAGGGCTTCCATTTTCGATTTTTCTCCATAAAGATCTCACACATTTCTTAGTACATTTATTCCAGGGTATTTTAAAACCATTCTATGGCTATCTCCTACTCCATCAAAAGAGTCATAAATATTTATTAATATCATGTTCTCATCTTTTAATGAATTCATCTTTTACATTTAACTCCCTCTACAATTTATTTTGGTACAGAATGTGATTCCAGTCGCTAAATAGATCACAGATTTTTCTTTCTTTCTTTTTTTTTTCTTTTGCTCAAATTGTCAAATGTATTTATTGACTAAATGATTTCTTTCGCTTTACTTGAGATTGTTCCTTTTTCCTGTTGTAAGTTCTCCAAAGCCTAAGGTTTCTGTCTTTGGGGGTGATCTGTCTGATGAGGTTTTGGGGTGATGGTGGGGTTCGGAGCTGACAGCCAAGAAAGAATTCTTAAAGACGTCTTTGGGGCAAAAAAGATGATTTTGTTAAAGCACGGGGACAGGACCTGTGGCAGGAAGAGCTGCACTGGGGCTGTGAAGTATGACTGGTTATATACCATGGTGTTGGGGGAGGTAAAGTCAAGAGGACGTTTCTTAAAGGGATTT